AACATCATATTTAACAGAGAAAAACTAAACCATTTCCCCTAAAATCAGGAACAAGACAAGGATTCCCCACTCCTATTCAACAGAGTCCTGGAATTTCTAGCCAGAGCAATAAGGCAAGAAGAAGAAATAATGGAACTATCAAAGTATCCCTATTTGCAGATGACATGATCCTGTACCTCAAAGACCCAAAAAAACTACCCAAAAACTCCTAAATGCCATAAACAGCTTTAGCAATGTGGCTGGATACAAAATCAACTTACAAAAAGCAGTAGCTTTTCTACATACCAACAATGAACAAATTGAGACAGAATATATGAAAACAATTCCATTTTCAATAGCCTCAAAAAAAATCAAATACCTAGGAGTAAATTTAACAAAGTTTGTGACTGACTTCTACATGGAGAACTATAAACCTCAGAATAAAGAGATTGAGGAAGACTATAGAACATGGAAAGATCTCCCATGCTGATGGATTTGTAAAATCAACATAGTAAAAATGGCTATACTACCAAAAGCAATCTATCTTTTCAATCTAATTCCCATCAAAATCCCAATAACATTCATCACAGAAATTGAAAAATTTACCCTAAAGTTCATTTGGAAACACAAGAGACTGCGCATAGCCAAGGCAATGCTGGAGGTATCACAATACCCAACTTCAAACTATATTACCATAGTTATGGCATATAATACTATATTGCCATGGCAATAAAAATGCATGATACTGGCACAAAAACAGATAAAAAGACCAGTGGAACAGAATAGAGGACCCAGATATGAATCCACACAGCTATGCCCACCTTATTTTTGACAAAGGCGCCAAAAACATACAATGGAAAATAGACAGCCTCTTCAACAAATGTTGCTGGGAAAAGTGGTTGTCTGCCTGCAGAAAACTGAAATTAGATCCGTGAATATCATCCTGTTCTAGTGTCAACTCAAAGTGGATTAAGGACTTTAACATAAGACCCAAAACTCTGAAGTTAGTACAGGATAGAGCAGGGAATACTCAGGAAGCAATAGGTATAGGCAAAGAGTTCCTCATTTAGAGCTACAATAGCCCAGCAACTGAGAAAGAATGGACAAATGGGATTACATGAAATTAAAAAGCTTCTGCACAACAAAAGAAATGGTCTCTAAACTGAAGAGACCACCCACAGAGTGACTGATAACCAAAATATACAGGTAGCTCAAAGAACTAAACTCTCCCAAAATCAATGGACTAATCAAGAAGTGGGCAACTGAACTAAACAGAACTTTTTCAAAGGAAGAAATCCAAATGGCCAAAAAAACACATGAAAAAGTGCTCACCAACTCTAGCCATAAAGGAAATGCAAATCAAAACCTCATTGAGATTCCACCTCACTCCTGTTAGAATAGCTATAATCAAGACCACAACACCAACAAAACAAATGCAGTAATATTATTGGACATGGGTCACACGCTAAGGGGAGAAAGCATAGAGGAGGAATAGGGAAAGGTAGGAAACCTAAAACTTGAAAGCATTTGATGTGCCCACTGTAGAGGAGCGAATATAGTAACCTTAAACTGACAGAGGCCACTATGGGAAAGTGACAGGAAAGTAGTGAAGAGGTCTGGTAGAGATGAACCAATTTGGGTTGTAATACACATGTGCATGGAAGCAATGCTAGGAATCTCTCCGTATAGCTACCTTTATCTCAAACTAGGAAAAATGCTATGTCTTTCTTATTATTTCTTATGTTTTCTCTTCAACAAAATTGGAGAAGAGGGCAGAACAGGTTCTGCCTGTGGAGTGGAGACGGAGGGGACAGAGAGGAGAGGTAGCTCAAATATGAATAAATGAATAAACAATAAAAAAGAAAAAATAATAAATACAAAAAATAAAGGGGGAAAGACTTATAGTTTATTTCTGGAAATGAGTTTCAGAAGGTTGTGGCTTGTGAGTTCTTATGAAGTGTAGAGGGAAGATTATCTGAAACCTCACAGAAGTTTTAAAACCAGGTGTACATAACTGTGCTTTATAACACATACAGTGAACTCAGGTCGCTGGCAAATGTTTGAGATGCATGTTTTTCTCTGGGCTCCTATGTGTCCAGTTCAGCTGCGCACAATTTCTATATTCACCTATTGTTTCTCTGGAGAAACTTGTGCAAAAACAAACCAAAATTTTTTCTATGCTCAAAATGTTTTCTGGCATACCAATTAAGTTTGTAACAAATTTACATTTCAGAACAAACCTTATAGTATAACTGAATGTAATAGTAGATACTTGAAAAATAAAATGGGACAAGGAGAATCCTATGTTCCAATAAATTCAGAAAGGAATTGGGTTTAGCAGTTTTAATAGTAGGAAATTTCATAAACTTTATATGCTAATGTAAACTGAAATTTCAAGAGGGACATGAGTTTGCAATGTTTTACCAATTTATTTGACTTTGTAATCTTTTCTTTTGAGGTAAAAAAATCTCTTTAATATTTCTTAAGTATAGTGCTGGATGGAGCATAGTTGGGTAAACATTTCTCTGTTGTAACGTTTCATAATTGCTGCCTTAAAATATAAGACAAACATTCCTCTCAGAACAGAAATAAGTTACAATCTACCTGCATTTTGTATTACACACAGCCTTACCCATCTGCATGACTTTCTAGATAACCATTATTATGTCAGACTTTTTAAAAAATTTTCTTTATCTATTGGAGAGTAAGTTACCAACATGATGTTGCATCATCTCCAGATATTTTAATATGCATTTTTCTATAAGCAAAGATATTCTACTATATAGCCATTTTTCTATTTTGCAAAGCTATCACAAAACATTTTGGGCAACAAAAATTATATTACATATAAAATATTACATAAAATGCATAATGAACACTTGTATGACTATTACTTGCATAAGAAATAAAATATTACCAACACACTTGAAATCACCTGTGTACCACTCCCATTCTCCCACCTTCATCATCTCAAGTTTGGCATATAACATTCATTCCTAAGCTAGTGTCTCTAAGTGGGTTTTAGGTGGTCCTAAGAACACAATGAAATTATACATAAAATTTGATATGTGTGTGTGCATTCTGCTAGAGAAATAGTCTATAACTTTGATGAGATTTCATGGATAAAGGTAAGCTGTATGTGAAATATCAGATTTCATGAAAACTGAGACCCTTTCTTGAGAACACAAACAAAAAAGATAGGTTGGATAGCACAGGAATTTCTGAGACAGATGGAGAAGTCAAAGACACACTTAATTTTCTGCCTGAGCAAATGAGACAACTGTACCACCAAAAGAAGTAAAGAGCACAAAGGCAAGAATTGATTCAGAAACTAGACATCCAGAGTGGACTATCTGATGTTTACATAATTCAATCAATTTCTTCTCTATTGCTTATTGTTTAAATAATTCACTACTGAATTAAATACAAAATAGAAGAAAGAAACAGGACTCTCAGATAATTCAGACTTGCCATCTATTAATGACTCCACTATAAAGCTTGACATTCAGGATAATAAATGGTAACGGCTATATAATAAACAAACACTGTTATCTCAGTAGTTTAGTACAGTGAAATTTGTTGCTTCTAGGATCACATTTAATATAGTTGATGGACTACAGAATAAACAAAGGTGCAAGTCAGTTTTGCTTTGCAGTCATTTAAAAAGGTGGGCTTCTTCTGTAACATTGTTCTGCTATCTGTAACTCGAGGCTTCTAGACACTCTCTCATCATCTGCTTAACAGAGAGAAAATGCTTAATAGTGAGACTCAAGGGAAAATGACATAATGTGTATTACACTTCTGTCCACATTCATTAGCTGGGGTTCAGTCATAAGGCCCCATTCAATTACAGAGATGGATGGAAGGTGTTAATTTGGCTCAATGCTCAGGAACAATACCCAGCATTATCTCTGTCACAGGAGGGAAAGATGGAAGAGTGCCACCTAAGTAAGTGAAGATTAAGAATGAACCCTGACTAGTATTCTCTTATTTTGTACCCTCTGCTCAATACAAACTACTGACAGCTAAAAACAAAAATAATCACAATAAGAAAATAACAATATACAAATCTATCAAATGTCATAGCCTGAAGTTCAATTAATTTGAAAAGTAACTTTGCTTCAATCTTTCAAAACTAGCTTAAGCAAAATATTCATTAACTGATTTGCATTCACTAGTCTTGGCTTGAATGAAGTTGACAGGGTATTTGTAGGTTTAATTTATAAGATCTTCAATTGGGGAATTATAAAGAAACCAATAAAAACAGAATATTGCCTTAAAATGCAGAATTTTGCCTCATTATTGATTTTTTTTTCTTTCTGAATTCAGAGTAAATGTAGTTACAATAATGCTACATGGACTTTAAATAAATTATGAATGAAAGCAACCTTTTCTAGCTGTGATAATAGAAGCTTACAATGGAGAAATATGAGATATGAAAGCATAAGATGTGAACCCCCTTCTTGAGTCCCTTGCTAAATTTAACTATCTACAGAGTTCTTTGAACCATAGCATACCTACCTGTATTATTATAATTCCCTGTGATTCAGGTATTTTAAATTGAAGCATACTGCCCAGCTTATAGTTCAAAGGTTGATAGATTTAGTATCTGGACAAAAAGGCAGTATATGTTTTTGAGGAGCGTGAGACAGTGTGTTTTTCCATTTCATTTTATACACACACACACGTACACACTTCTCTTTCAAGCAGCAATAAGTCTGGCTGCTTCAAAGCAATTTTGTGTCATCTCACAAAGTGTCCTTTAGAGATCAAGATATTTTCTTTGAAAACTTGAAAAGGGAAATCCAGTGTCTCACATTCTGCTTGTTCCCAATTCCACAAGCTTCTGTAAGGAAATCAGTATTGCTCTGCAGTTAGTATCTCTGAGTGTCTCACAGACTTCCACTGCACTTGGATTGGTCAGGAAGAAGCAGAGGAGGAGCCATTCTGAACAGTTTTTTTTCCTCCACATACCATAAAAATCAGCAGCTGGCACTCACAGCGCCACGCACACGAAGCAATGCTTAAGCTAGGAACTGACACTTCTGAGAGGTGCTGATGTGAGCGTGTGCATACAGACTTGGCTCCCAGCAGCACAGCAGCTCCCAGGAAAAATATCTTGAAAAGATCTGAATGCATAAGGCTAAAGTTAAAACCGAAATGAGAGACAAAAACAAACAGCAGAATCCTTCAACTGAGAATGAGCATTCTGAAGCCTAAGATTTAAAGTATTGATGATCAGAGCCATACCTAAAAGAGACTAAAAACTCCGTTCCAAGCTCTGAGCTGTGACAGTCCTCACAGCAGGCATGCCAATTGCAGCCTCATAACTTTCACACAGATAAAGACTGACAGAACATAACGGAGATTCCCTGAGCAGAAGCTTAAATCAGTTCAAAGGGGAATTTGAATCCACCTGCTGCCTGACGATGACCTCTACTCACCACCATGGGATGCACGCGTCTCTCCACTTCTGGAACCGCAGCAGCTACGGACTGCACAGCAATGCCAGTGAGTCCCTAGGAAAAGGCCACTCTGATGGAGGGTGCTACGAGCAACTTTTTGTCTCCCCTGAGGTGTTTGTGACTCTGGGTGTCATAAGCTTGTTGGAGAACATTCTAGTGATTGTGGCAATAGCCAAGAACAAGAATTTGCACTCACCTATGTACTTTTTCATCTGTAGCCTGGCTGTCGCAGATATGCTGGTGAGCGTTTCCAATGGGTCAGAAACCATTGTCATCACCCTACTGAACAGCACAGACACAGATGCACAGAGCTTCACGGTGACTATTGATAATGTCATTGACTCCGTGATATGTAGCTCCTTGCTTGCGTCAATCTGCAGCCTGCTTTCCATTGCAGTGGACAGGTATTTTACTATCTTTTATGCCCTCCAGTACCATACCATTGTGACTGTTAAGCGGGTTGGGATCATCATAACTTGTATCTGGGCAGCTTGCACAGTTTCGGGCGTTTTGTTCATCATTTACTCTGACAGCAGTGCTGTCATCATCTGCCTCATCACCATGTTCTTCACCATGCTGGTTCTCATGGCCTCTCTCTATGTCCACATGTTCCTGATGGCCAGACTTCACATTAAAAGGATCGCTGTCCTCCCAGGCACTGGCACCATCCGCCAAGGTGCCAACATGAAGGGAGCAATTACTTTGACCATACTAATTGGGGTCTTTGTTGTCTGCTGGGCCCCATTCTTCCTTCACTTAATATTCTACATCTCTTGTCCCCAGAATCCATACTGTGTGTGTTTCATGTCTCACTTTAACTTGTACCTCATACTAATCATGTGCAATGCAATCATTGATCCTCTCATCTACGCACTCCGGAGCCAAGAACTGAGAAAAACCTTCAAAGAGATCATCTGTTGCTTTCCCCTGGGAGGCCTCTGTGACTTCTCTAGCAGATATTAAGTGGGGATAGAGGAGATACTAAATACTTGCTTAAGAGACTTTTTCATTCTGTACAACCTGAACAGTGTACTTCAGAGTCCTTTGTGTGTAATGCTTTGGTTGAGAATATCTATTCTATAAATTTAAGCATATGATTTTTGATATAAAGAATGTCTAACTTGAGTATTATTTTTAGTGTCATGTTACTTTTTGTTTGTAAAATGCTGATCTGTATTCTATACTGTAGATATTATAGAATTGCAAAAAGGAAAGATGTCCTTATTAAAAGCTTAACAATGTCTCTTTCTTGTTATTCACCAGGGTTCAACACTGCTTTTTTTAATAACAGAAATCTGAGCCTCGTTAAATACATTCTCATAAGTGTTTTCATATATTATATTACACAACATTGAAATGCAGAGGTTTGACTCTAACACTTGAGAGAAAAATATCTAAAGATTATGTGTTTAATTATTGCATAAATCAGTAACTTTATAAAAACTTATCCATCCTCCCTGTGCACAAGTACAAATGATGCTTCTCTTGAAAGAAACACAGTTACTGAGAAGAGATTCTGAGTCAGAAAACTATGTGTGCTTCCTCAAGACAGAAAGATTAATTTGCCAAAGCACATAGTAATTCAGTTTGATATTGCACACTAACAATTCCATTTAGGGAGAAAAAACAGCAGCTATGGAGATTAAAGTATTCTGGCAAACCCCAAATTGCCATGTCAAGCTAAACTTCCTGATACCAAACTATCTCCAACCAAAGCAGAGTCTTTCTGCCCATTAACCAGGGTCACAATTTCTGCAGAAATGTTCAGGACAGTTGATAATGCACTGAAAGGTCCAGCATTTGATTGTGAAAGAACTAAATGATTGGTAATGAATTCTTTCACATGGAGGTGACTTGCTATTTTCTTACTGCTTATAATTTGAATTGCAGTATAAATGCTAATGATCCAACATTTTAACTTTCCAAACGAGATACAAATCCTAAGTGTTGTCAGGCAATATTTGGAAATATCCAAGTGAGCATCCATATGATGAAGGTACAATGTAAGCAGGGAGGAAGACACCTGCTGCATCCCAGAGGACAACATAAAATAAATTAGTCTTCTAGAGCCACATCTTGGAAAGGAAATATTTGTTTTGCCCCAAAATGTTTCTACAGATGTGGCTACTGAGAAACAGAATTTGGACTTTCTAGTCAGTGTGTATTTTAAATTACAGAGAAAAAGAATATGTTAGGCAAACTACCCTGTGGTTTAAAGTTTTGATTCTTCAAATGCTTATGGATGGAGGTCATAAGCAAAGGCATAACTTATTTCAAATCTAAATGGACCCCACATTGATTATGAAATCAGAGTAACATTTAGCATTCATGTGGAAACATTACCTAAGTATAATGGCAAAGCCAAAGTTAACCAATGAAAAGTTGTATTGAAGCTGTAATCCCAGCTATGTGGGATGTGGAGGTAGGAGGGTCATGGTTTGAGACCAGTCCTGGCAAAAGTTAGCAAGATCCTATCTCAAAAACTAAGATGAACAAGTTGATGCAAGTCTGCAATCCAAGCCAAGGGAAGGCAGAGGTAGGAGGATTACAATCTGAGGCTGGCCCCCCACACACCAGAAAAATGTGAGATCTATTTGAAAAATAAGCTAAAACAAAAAAGGACAAGGGGTATGGCTCAAGTGATACAGTGCTTGCCTACTAAATGCAAGTCCTTGAGTTAAAAACCCAATATTGCCTCCACCAAAAAAAAGTACTAAAGCTGATTTTTCACCCCACTGCAATTCCTCTATTTCAAAACAAAAATAAGTGTGAGGGTTTATATACAGACAAATCTAACCATCACAACCTGCTGTAGCTTCAACCTTAAGTGTTCTTCAAAGTTCATGTAATAAAGGCTTGTTCCCCAGAACGGTGCTTCTGGGAATTGGTGGACCTTTAAGAGGTGGGGTCTGGAAGGAAGTTTTCAGGTCACTGGGGATCTGTACTTGGAGGGGATAGAGCGACCTCAGCCCATTGCTCTTTCTCTCTGTTGCTTCCTGGCCACAAGTGAGTGGTTTTGTTCCATCATGAGCTTCTGCCATGGCATGTGGCCTTACTGTAAGCTCAATGCAATGGTGCCCATCAATCAGAAACTGAAACCTCCAAAACTATGACTAAAATAAACCTTTTTTTCTTGATAAGTTAATTATCTCAAGTATTTGTTATAGCAATGAAATTCTGGCTAACACCTAGCCCAAAGAAATATTAGTACACAGATGGATAGTGTTTTTGCTGTTGCTACTATTCGTATCCATTATTTTGAGAATTCAAGGGACTAGAGACCCTGAAAAGACATTTATAAGCATTCATATGTTCTATTGTTGCTGCATTTCCAGTCTATTCTGTTTCTCTTTCAATGTCATCTCAGTTGTTCATAAGGAAATCCTGGTTCCTTGGTCACAGTCACACCTCCTTCTGGAGCAGTTTGCAGTGTTTAGGGTGTGAATCAGTTATGAAGCAACCAGGCACTACCAGGCAATCCTGGCTGTCCTTGCACAATCTTGGATTTCAGTGTTTTTAAGTGCTACGACTGACTGTTACTCACTTGTCCTATTCTCCAAACTTTCCCTTATGTCCTTTTCTCTTATTCCAGTGAAATCTAGATTTCCTCAAAAGGAGAGTCCTTATCCAAGCCACTTCTAACCACCAGCTCACATCCAGTGATATTTGGAACTCCATCTGTTCTAACTGGATTATCATTGGATTAATCAGGGTGATATTATGGTTGAAACTCTAGGCTGAAGCAAATGTATTTAGAATTAGAATAGAGGGGCATGTGAGGCACGGGTGGCACTGGAGGTTTGTGGGAAAATACCTTTACCTACACAAAATGCAGACACAAGTGATGCTGCCTGTTGGAGCAAAGGCACAGGAGGTGATCACCCAGTTAGGGAACTTTAAGTATGTTAGGAACAGAGAACTGTGTTTTATACAACAGCATGAGGACTTTCATCACAGAAAAGGATTATCTTTTTTCTCCTTCAAGCCTACTTCTAAAGGAAACACATGGTTGTGATAAGAATTAAAGTAATTCAACCATTATATTCAGACTCCAGATTGGCTCCCACACCCTGGCCAGTTCCACATTGCAGAGTCAACTTCCTCACTGTTTTATTTGTATGCATTCCACCTCCCCAATTTGTGTGTAAGTTTCTTTAGAACAGGAGTCTTATAAATTTTTTCCCTCAAGGTTTTACATAAAAGAGACTAAAAAATATCTGATATAAAATATCCTTGATTTCTGAGAGTGGTTTCCCAGAGAGCCTCACCTTGGGCATCCTAATGTTACATCTAGTCACCTTCTATAGTGGCTATCTAGCCCTCTATCTGGACTGTCTTCAGAAAAGACAATAGGTGCCACAATGGTTCACTAGGGAAGCAAATAGATCAGGTTTAATTGAGTTACACACAGAATATGTTAAAAGAACTATTAACCATCTTCTGAAAATCCATGATCAATAATTATATATGTGAAATCATAGTATGAATGAAATACTAACACAAGGTCTTTCTTTTTTGCTTTAATTTGATGATCTTTTTTTACTGGGGATAGCAAAAGTTTGGAAAAAATAATTATGGGAAAAAATAATGCAAAGTTACATCTTAATTTTTTAAGGGGGGAAAAATGATAGTTTTTATTATACTAAGTATTAAAATGTTGTTAGGAATAAGAACTGTTTGTGGTTAAGGACAATGGCATGTCTAAAACTAACCACAATTGAGAATTACCCTTTCTATGGAATGTCCTTTAGGGATAAAACACAGATGGGATCCAGTATGTGGAAATCAAGGTATCACGTCCATGACACCCTGACCCCTAACCAAGTGAAAATAGAAAACAGAGCTGTAGGATATCTTCTATTTTCTAGGCATAAACACATCCCTTCCTCTTCCTAAATCCATGTACTGGCATAACACAATGTCTTCCAACCAGCAGGAAGAGACTGCTTGAATATCATGGTTAAGAAAAAACAAGGAAGAAATATGTGAGAAAGAAAAAGAAAGGAAGAGAGAGAGAAAAAAAATGCTTGTGAGGCTTTGAATCACTTTCCACATCAGCCTAATGGAAAAAGAGATAGATTGGATAGATGGTTGATAGATGATACAGCTACCTAGCTAGACAGATGATAGATAGATAGATAGATAGATAGATAGATAGATAGATAGATAGATAGATAGATACAGACAGACAGACAGGCAGACAGACAGATGGATAGAAAGATAGACAGATAGATAAAGCCATCAAACAAGCAAGCCTCAGCAGGGACATTAAAGTCACATCAAACCAGCCCCCCTGGTGGCTCAGGAATCTCTACAACAGCAGACTTAGAATAAAACATGGTCCAAAGGAGTTACAAAGGATTTTCTTAAAGCTTTATGCACTCACTTGGGTTGTGTGTCTTCTCAAAATGCCATTGAAGGAAGACTTGGAGACCTCAGTGCAGCTAATAAGCTGGGCACCATGGGAGTCCTAGAGTTCATCCATCAGATGAGTGTTTCTTCCATTTGGAAGGAGAAGAGAATGAGGTGAACAGTACAGTTTTCTCTTTTATCTTTTTTGTCATTGCATTGATTGGGTATTATTTTGTCCTTTATTAATTGTCTCTAACCTAGAAACAATATTATTATAAGTGATATGCATTCTCAACTAATATCTCATAGCTGACTTCGTGTTTTATATTTCTTTTGGGTTTTTCCAGTCAAATGCAAGAAGCAAAATGTAAAACAATCCAGACTTTCAAATTATTTGGTTCAATAGACCAGTGGTTTGTTTCAAGTGGATAAAAATGTGAGCAGATTCCACTGCATTTGGCCTAGATTGCCTAGCTTTGCAGAATATTAGTGGGAAGAGTACACTTCTAGCTGAAATAAAAGGAGAGTACAAGTACTCAACATTTATTGCAAAATTATTGCAGTAGAGTTATCAAGGCCCAAGAAATACACTTCATCACACATCTATATAATGGCATCTGAAAATGAACAAAGGAATAAAGAAAATTAGCCTAAAT